GGATTATACGATGAGCCACACCAGTCAACATGAGCACTGGCAACAAGCAATACAAAATGCCATATAACCGAGAACAAATAAATGACAAGGTGGTACAGAACTTGTACACGGAAAACTGCAAAACATTGCCAAATTAATTTAAAGAAGACCTAAATAAATGGAAAAACATCCTGTGTTCTTGGAGACAACTCTTTTGTGTATGTTGATCTTATATCTGTAACTTTTCTAAATTTATTTGTTCTAGATTTTTTTGTGTGGACTCTTTAGAATTTTCTATATATAAAATCATGTCATCTGCAAACAGAGGTAATTTTACTTCTTCCTTTTCAATTTTGAGTCTTTTTATTTCTTGTTGTTGCTAAGTTCTGTGGCCAGAACTTCCAGTACAATCTTGAATAGAAGTAGTGAAAGCAGGCCTGCTTCTTTTGTTCTTTATCTTAGAGGAAAAGTTTTCATTCTTTCACTATTGATTATGATGTTAGTTGTGAGTTTTTTCATATATGGCTCTTCATATGTTAAGGGAGTTCCCTTCTATTTTGAAGTTGTTGAGTGCTTTTTAATCATGAAAGGGTATTGAATTTTGTCAAATTCTCTTTCTTCATCAATTAAGATGATCATGATTCCCCTCCCCCCATTCTATTACTATGGTATATTACATTGATTTTTGTATGTTGAACCATACTTGCATTCCTGGGATAAACCCCACTTGGTCACAGTGTTTAATCCTTTTGATGCTGCTGAATTTGGTTTGCTGGTATTTTGTTAATATATTTTATGTTTATATTCATAAGAGATATGGGAAATTTTCTTTTTATGTATTTGTCTGGCTTTGGTATCAAGATAACCCTGGCCTAATAGAATGAGTTGGGAAGTGTTCAGGACTGCTCTTCTATTTTTTAGAAGAGCTTGAGGAGGATTGGTATTCTTTAAATGTCTGGTAGAATTCACCAGTGAATCTATCTGGTTCTAGGATTTTCTTGTTGGGAGATTTTTCATTAATTATTTAATCTCTTTACTTGCTATAGTTCCATTTAGATTTTTTTACTTTTTTTTTTTTGCGTCACTTCTGGTAGTTTATGTGTTTCTAGGAATTTGTCCATCTAGGTTATCTAACTTTATAGTGTACAGCTGTTTGTATTATTGTATTAGGATATTTTTTATTTAAGGCCCACTTTCATTTCTGAGTTTAATAATTTAAGCCTTTCTCTGTTTTTGTTTTTTTTTTTTTTTTAATCTGTCTACTAGAAGTTTGTGCTTTATCAATTTATCAAAGACCCAACTTTTGGTTTTGTTGGTTCTATTTTTCTGTTCTGTATTCTGTTTTTCTCCACTCTGATCTTTATTGTTTTCTTCCATCTGCTAGCTTTGCTTCAATTTGCTCTTCTTTTTCTAGTCCCTTAAGATAGAAAATTGGGTTATTAATTTGAGAGCTTTCTTTTCTTTTAATGTTGGTATTTATAGCTATAAATTTCTGAATGCTGCTTTGCCATTCTCTGATAAGTTTTGATATACTGTTTTGTTTTTATTCATTTCAAAGTATTTTATAATTTTACTTGTGATTTCTTTATCCACCTGTTGTTTTTGTGTTAATTCTCATGTATTTGTGAGTCTTCCCTATTTTCTTTTGTTAGTGATTTCAAGTTTCATTCCATTGTGATCAAAGGAGATACTTTCTATGGTTTCAGTCTTTTAAAATTTATCGAGACCTGTTTTGTGGCCTAACATATTGTCTGTACTGGAGAATGATTCATGTGAATGTGAGAAGAATACGTGTTCTGCTGTTGTTGGGTGCGATTCTGTATGTTCCTATTAGTTCTAGTTGGTTAGTAAGGTTGTTCAAGTTCTCTATCTATTTCCTTCCTTCCTTCCTTCCTTCCCTCCCTCCCTCCCTCCCTCCTTCCTTTCTTCCTTCCTTCCCTCTTTCTCTCTTTCATTCTTTCTTTTTTTTTGAGCTGCAGTCTCACTCTTTCGCCCAGGCTGGAGTGCAGTGGTGCAATCTTGGCTCGCTGCAACCTCTGCCTCCCGGGTTCAAGTGATTCTCCTGCCTCAGCCTCCTGAGTAGCTGGGATTACAGGTGTGCACCACTGTGTCCAGCTAATTTTTTTGTATTTTTTTAGTAGAGACGGGGTTTCACCATGTTGGCCAGGCTGGTCTTGAACTCCTGACCTCAGGTAATCCATCTGCCTTGGTCTCCCAAAGTGCTGGGATTACAGGCATGAGCCACTGCATATGGCGTAAGGCTTCTATTTCTTTATTGATCTTCTGTCTAGTTGTTTTATGCATTATTGAACATGAGGTAGTGAAGTCTCCAACTATTTTTGTAGAACTATTTCTTCCTTTAATTCTGTCAGGTTTTTTATTTATGTATCTTGAGGCTCTTTTATTAGGTGTGTATATCTCTATAATTGTTACATATTCTTGAGGTATTCACCCTTTTCTCAATATGTAATGTCCTTCTTTGTCACTTTTAAAAATGTTTAACTTAACATCTATTTTGCATGACATTAGCATATTCACCCCTACTCTATTTTGGTTGCAATTTGCATAGAATATCTTTTTCCATCATTTCACTTTCAACCAAGTTGTGTCTTTGGATCTAAAGTGAGTCTCTTAGACACAGCATATGTTAAATCATGTTTTGGTTTTTAAAAATTCATCCTGCCAGCCTTTTTTTTTTTTTTTTTTAAAGTTGCGACTGAGTCTTGCTCTATCTCCTAGGCTGGTGTTTAGTGGCACGACCTTGGCTTACTGCAGCCCCCACCTCCGGGGCTCAAGTGATTCTCATGCCTCAGCTCTGGACTTTTTGATTAGAGAGTTTAATCTACTTCTGTTTAAAGTAATTGCTGATACAGAAGGACTTAATTCTTTAATTTTTAAATTTGTTTTCTATATGTCTTATAGCATCTTTGTTTCTTGGTTTCTTCATTACTTCCTCTTTTTGTGTCTGACTTTTTGTAGCATGCCATTTTGATTTACTTCTCATTTTCTTTTCTCCATATTTTTAAGTTATTTCCCTAGGGTTGTCTTGGTATAATGAGTTGAATGGTGTCTCCCAAAATTTGTATCCACATGGAACCTCAGAATATTACTGCATTTGGAAATAGGGGCTCTGAAGATGTAATTTTTAAGATGCAGCCATATTGTTGGGGTGGGCCCTACTGCAGTGATTGGTATCCTTATAAGAAAAGAAAACAGACACCCAGATACACGCAGACACACAGAAGAAAGCCATGTGATGACTGGAGCAGAGATTGAAATGATGCATGTACAATCCAAAGAATACCAAATGATTTCTGGTAACCACTAGAAACTGTAAGGGGCAGGGAAGGATTCTTCGCCAGAGCCTTCCAAACAATAACCCTGTTGACACTTTCATCTTGGACATTTAGCCTCTGGAACTGTGAGATTATAAATTTATGTTGCTTTTAGCCATAGTACTTTGTTATGATAGCCCTAGGAAACTAATATACCTGGGTATTATAATTAACACTCTAGTTTGAATTAATAACCTAGCCACAATAGTATATAAAACTCTGTTCCTAAATAGTTCTATATGTCCCCCTTTATGTTTTTATCAGAAATTATATTTTACACATATATTGTGTACCCATTAATATAGATTTGCAATTATTTTTTTATGGATTTATCTTTCAAATCATAAAGAAAAAAAGAAAAAAATATGCTGAAAATAGAATACAGAATTTTATAATTACTTATACAGTTAATTTTACTAGTGTTCTTTTTTTCTTTGTATGAGTTTGAATCACTGCCTAGTGTCCTTTCATTTCAGCCTGTAGGATTCCCTTCAGCATTTTCTTTTTTTTTTTTTTTTGTGGGGCAGGTCTACTAGTGATTAGCTTCCTCGATATTTGTTTATCTGAGAATGTTTTAATTTCTTCATTTTTGAAGGATAATTTTGCTTGATATAGAATTGTTGGCCAACAGTTTTATTTTTTGCCTTTGAGGTCTTTAGATATTTCATATTGCTGCCTTCTAAACCCCATGGTTTCTGATGAGAAATCAGTCATGAATCTTATTGAAGACCTCTTATATATGAGGAGTCTTTTTTGTCTTGCTGCTTTCAAGATTCATTCTTTGTATTTGTCTTTTGACGGTTGGATTATAATGTGTCTCAGTGAGAATATCTTTGAATTTGTCCTACTTGTAGTTTGTTAAGCTTCTTAAACATGTATATCATCAAATGTGGGGAGTTTTCAGCCATCATTTCTTCAAATATTCCTCGTACCTTCATTTTTCTCTCCTTCTGGGACTCCTATTATATATATGTTGATATGCTTGATGGCCTCCCATAGGTCCCTGAGAATCTTCATTTTTCTTTGTTTCCTTTTCCTCTGCTTTTCATTCTGAAATGCTTCTCTGTCTGGGGTACTGCTTGTGAAATTCCCACACACAGTGGCTGCCCACACCATGTCTTCCTTAGTCAGGACCAGTGTTTCTTGGGCCCTCTTTACTAGAAAATGAACAAGGAGACATTACCTGTCCTCCTTGATTGGTCAGAAGTGGGAGCAGCCTGACAGCATTAGAAATACTGCTGGCCTCAGCGATCAAATCCTGGCTCTGCCACTTCTTTGTGATGTGAAATGGCGCAGATAATTTTCTACACCTTAGATTCCTTATCTATAGGGTGACCAACTCATCCTGGTTTACCTAGGACTTTTTAGGTTTTATACCGAAAGTTGCATGTCTCAGAAAACCCATTAGACCCGGGGGGACCCTACTCATCTGTGAGAGGAAGATAATACTACCTACCACAAGGTGGTTGTGAGAAAATAGAAAGAAGATACAGAAAAGCAGCTAGGGCATCGTTGGGTTCCATAATCATATAATTGTTGCTTATGCAAAATGCAAGGAGGGTGTTTGAAGATGGAGAATGATGCACCAAATAGCTAACACTTTGACATGTGGACTTGCTTCAATGGGACACCTGAGAGCAGAACCAGGGAAATTTTTTGTTAGTTCTACCTGAACATTTCTGCCAGCTATCCCTCTGGAAATGTCGCTATATGTCAGATCCCCACATGCTGCAGAGGGAGAACCATCACCTACCTCTTTAATGACATACCTGGCTCCTCCTTGCTGGCCCTATTCAATGCTGAAGGTCAGGTCTATGTTCACTACAACCTAAAAACCAGGTAAGTGGACTGGGAGAATACTAGTCTCACAGAAGTTACCTCTGAGGGTGATGGAGGGAGGACTGAGGTGTTGACTCTGAGTCCCTAGTTAAAGAAGAAGCCAAGCAGTATCTAGAGGTCTAGTAAGGCAGGGAGGCAGGGCTGAGGCTATTTCTGTAGGGACATAGGAACTTTAAGGCTCAGCCCTTCCTTGCTGTATCTGTGTCACAGCCAATGATAAGGACAACTTCCCAAGTCCTATTCCACTTGGTACCCCAGAGCACTAAGATCTTGACTGTTAGTTATATTAAAGGAAGAATTATTTAGTGGAAAAAAGTGTTTTATACCAGGAGTGGTTGAAGGAGAGGCATGAACACGTTACTTCTGTGGCATCTTTTAAAAGAAGTGCAAATTATTCCTAGCCAAAGGTTGATATTGTCTGGCTTTTCTTTTTTGTTTTTGTTTTGAGACAGGGTCTTGCTCTCACTCTGTCACCCAGGTTGAAGTGCAGTGGCATGATTATAGCTCACTGTAGCCTCGAACTCTTGGGTTCAAGTGATAATTCCACCTCAGCCTCCTGGATTAGCTGAGACTACAGACATGTGCCACAATGCCTAGATAAGTTTTTAAATTTTTTGTAGAGACAAGATTTTACTATGTTGACCAGAATGATCTCAAACTCCTAGCCTCAAACGATCCTCCTGCCTCAGCCCCTCAAAGTGCTGGGATTACAGGCATGAGCCACCATGTCTGGGTTTGCCTGGGTTTTCATAAGGAACTGTTCTTGGAAGAAATGAGTTACTCTTATGTTATAGGTGTTCCATTTCCCATCTTGGTGCCCGTTATACAATCAGGCTACTAGGCAACAGAGCACAAATTCCATTTCTTCCCCTCTTGGGTTTGACCTGAGCCTTCATTATCTCTCTCAGACTTGGCTCCTCCGGTAGCATCAACAGGTGGTAAAGAGCCTCAGACCATAGCAGGTGGGGAAAGTGAGGCTGCCTGCAGGACTGCACTATTCCTACAGCCTGGACTAAGTCTTACAGACCTGCCTGCCCTTACAGACCTGCCACAGCCTGCACTGATGAGAGCTTCCTTCAGTGGCCTGGTGGCAGCTACTCACTTCTGTATCTCTCCTAGTTGCCCATATGTCTTAGTCTTGGATGAGGAAGGTGGGACCACCAATGACCAGCAGGGCTATGTAGTCCACAAATGGAGCTGGACTTCCAGGACGGAGACCCTGCTTTCCCTGGAATACAAGGTAAGGATGGGCAGCACAGTGGTGCTCACTGCCACAGGGAGGGCCTTGGCATCCTGCCATGCACTGCCTAGCATTAAAAACCCAGGGCTATCTGTAAGAGAGGAATCCTGCCCTGAAGGAGCTTGTAATCTCATTCAGAGGTTCCCAAGTTGGTGGATGGTGGTCCAGGTTGGCTGAAGGGAACTTTTCACTAGCCTAAACTATTGGCTGCTTTACTGACGTTTCTTGGTAATATCCTTCCAGTGTAATTTTTGTTATTAACATCATTCTATTTTTCTGTTCAAATGTGTTTGATGAAGTAACAGTTATGGTAGTTGATAGCTTTATTTTTAATGCCTATGTGCAGCAATAATAAAAATTATCAATTCTATGTTGGTTTCCCCAGTTTTGATATTTGTAACTTTGTTATCTATAAAATAAAACAATCTGGAAGTCAACAGTGGCCGATAGATACAAACTCTTTTTTCATTCATTTGGCTGTTCAGATAATAATTCACCAAAGATTTATTAAATAACATAATAAAGAGGAATGAATTATTAATAATAAATTAATAAACTTAATAAAGCAATTAAGTATGCTTGTCACTTTATCTGTGACAGAGTTCCTTATCATTGACACTACTGACATTTTGGGATGGATACTTCTTTGGTATAACTGTGCATTGTAGGAAGTTTAGCATCCTACTAGATTCTAGTAGTATCCCCTTTCTCAGTTGTGACAACCAAAAATATCTTCAGGCATCACCAAATGTAGCCTCTGGAGGGCAAAACTGCCCCCAGTTGAGAATCACCAACTGGAGGATGGAAGGAGAAACAAAACCCATCAAGGAACTCAAAAGTCTAAGGGAGTAATAAGAACACAGGGCAGACACAGATAAGAACTGCAAGAGAAGGGCAAGTGTTGGAATTCAGAGGAAGATGGCAGAACAGCTGCTCAAGCTGGCCCCAGATGAAGAGCCCCACCATAAGGGTTGTGGACACAAGCACTGTTGGAGTGCGTGGGAGGGCTCCAGCCCCTACCTTTAGTCTCCTGTCTCTTATCCTCTCAGTTCATCCTCTACATTGGTCACTGACTCTCCTCCTTATGCTCTGATTCCTCAGACCTCACCTCTGTTCAGGAATATTCAATTCCTTGAACATGTCTCACCTTTCCTACTCCCTTGGCCTGAAATGCACCTCTTCCTCTCTTTGCCAGTGCAACTGTCCTTCCAAATTCCTTCAAAGCCCTGCCCAAACTCCCTCCTTTGTGGCATCCTATCCCACACCCATTTCTGTCTTCCCCCAGTGCACACACTTTGGATTAGTCACTTGGTAATTAATGCCAGGAACAGGTTCTCATCTCTGCCTGCATATAAGAATCACCTCTGGGACTTTTTATAAAATACAGATCCCAGTCACGGCCCCAGAGCAACCCCAACTCATTTGGTATGTTAGGAGTTTTGGATTTCTGTGGTTTTCACATTTTTGAGGCTTGGCCAGGTCTGAGAACCCCAGTCTAGGGGTGTATTGTGTTGTTTTCTTAATGTTTAACATTTCATAGCTGTATGAAAAGTTTATAATACCAAGATTAGAAATCAGTTGAAGGCAGGCATCGTTAAGTTGTTTGTTAGTGTGGCCAAGCAGAGAACTGTGATAAGAATCTGAGGAGCTAAGTACTAGGACCAGGTTTGCCAGACTTTGGCTGTGCAACTTTTTGAAAACCTCTCAGCTTCTCTGAGTCTCAGTTGTGTCATCTATACAAAATTGGTCACTAGAACTGCCCTCTGGCCTCATGGTACTTTCATGAGAAGAAATGAAATAATGAAGGGAAGGTGCTTTGACATCAATAAAGTGTTTTACCAATGTATTTTAGTTCTTTTTTGTATTCCTTGGAGCTGCATGAAGAAAAGCACAGTAGAGGCATGTGAAGTCAGGAGTGGCCTGGAAGAGAAGGTGGCCCTGGGGTTGTAGCATGGGGGTGAGTGTGTATGATTCACATAGAGAGGAGGAAGAGGGAAAAGTCTTCTGGGTAGTGGGAGCAGCATCTGCAAAGGTTGGAGTTGGGACTAAATGTGGTATTTTTAAGAGGTCACAAGTGCTTCTTGTGAAAGAAAGGTGGAGCAAGAGGTGTGTATGGTGTCGGGTGGAGGCGGGAGGCACTGGATGTCAGACTGGGGAGTTTGTATGCTGTCTTGGAGGCTGCAGGGGCCAATTTGTTTTTACCCAGCTACTATTTCCAGGGTTCTTCCTTACTTTCTGAAGATCCAAGTTTCCCTCTGGTACCATTTCTCTTCAGCCTGAAGAACTTCCTTTGGCTTTCTTGAAGTACATATCTTCTGGCAATGTATTCTCTGTTTTCTTTCACGAAGGAAAAAAAAATCTCTTTATTAAAGGATATTTTTGCTGGATATGATTCTGGGATGATTTTTTTTTCTTTCAGCATTTTAAAAATGTTGTTGCACAGTGTCTGTCTTCCACAGTTTATAAGAAGTCTGTAGTTATTCAAGTTACTCTTTATTTTTCTTTAGCTGCTTGCAAGATTTTCTCATTTCTTTGGTTTTCTAAGTTTAACTGTGAGGTATCTAGGTGTGGTTGTCTTCATATTTAACCCATTTACTGAGCTTCTTGAGTCTGTAAATTCATTTAAATTTGTTTCACCAGCCGGGCGCGGTGGTTCAAGCCTGTAATCCCAGCACTTTGGGAGGCCGAGGCGGGTGGATCACGAGGTCAAGAGATCGAGACCATCCTGGTCAACATGGTGAAACCCCATCTCTACTAAAAAAAATACAAAAATTAGCTGGGCGTGGTGGCGCGTGCCTGTAGTCCCAGCTACTTGGGAGGCTGAGGCAGGAGAATTGCCTGAACCCAGGAGGTGGTTGCGGTGAGCCGAGATCGCGCCATTGCACTCCAGCCTGGGTAACAAGAGCGAAACTCCGTCTCAAAAAAAAAAAAA